GAGGGGGGGGGGGGTAATGTACAGCGCGCCCACATGACTACAGCTGATCGCGGTACTGGAAGGGGGCGTCGCGAAGATACCCGTCTCGTCCCTCCCCCTCCCCCTCTCTCCACACACACACACACATACACACACAACGCTACCGCCGCGAATCAGGTCAAGCAACCACGCCGTACCACCGCTGAGCTCAGGTTGAGCCGCAGCCAATCCGACACCGGGATGGGGCTGTACTACTGGGAGGGGAGAATGAACCTTGTTCACCGTGACCACATGGTGGCCACAACACCGCAATGAGATCTGTTTTAATCTTCTGTTGCAGGGCAAGGCGGTCATCAGGCCCATCGCCTTCCGGCCGCTGCAGGGCGCCATGAGCCCCGGCCCGGGGGCTGGAGGCGGCGCGGGGGTCCGGCAGGGTGCGGGCGGCAGGCTGTCCAACGCCGGCGAGCGCTACGGCTCCACGCCCGTCCTCGCCAGGCCCGGCACGAGGCTCGCGCTGCACGGCAGTAAGTACCAGTGGTCATGGTGTTCAATCTCACCCTACCCTGCAACCTCAACTTCGCGAGTTTTGCGCTACACCAGTGAGATTAAAGACACGATGGCAGTCTATGTCTATGAAAGGGTACTGCACGGGTCCATAGGCATTTTGAAGTGCTCACAACTTCACTTTAAAAATTAAGTTTAAAGCGAACCTTGAGGGTGTGGGGTGTAGGTATGGCCCCGGCCGACCTATCTTGTTTGTCCAATCGATCCAGTTTCGGGCCTGGCCCGTCCTGGCGGGGCGGAAAGGGCCAGCGCGGCCTGTCGCTGTGTTATTTGCACAGCCTGGCCCACGGGCGAAGCGGCCCGATAAGAAAGGCTCGGGCCGCTGTGGCGGGGCGGGGCGGGGCGGGGCGACCTCACGGGGCGCCTCAGGGCGCTCCCGCTGCCGGGAGCAACGAACCTTATTTCGGACAGTCTGCATCTTTCCTGATTTCTCCTGTAAATCCTGCCGCAGGCACGACTGACCTCCGCTCGCTGCACTCGGGCGGCTCCTCCCACATGGGCGGCGCCCTCGGGGCCCTGGGCGGGTCGCTGCACGGCGGGCTGGGCGGCGGCCACCTGGGCGGCTCGGGGTCGCACCTGTCCCTGGACCGGAAGCTCACGCTGTGCTCGTCGCCCCCGCTGTCGTCGCTGTCCTCGCTCAACTCCCTGCCGCTGCCCGGGCGACTGGAGGGGCGGCTGGAGGCGCGGTACGACCCCCTGTCGGCTACCAGCACCCTCACCGCCCCCTCCAGGGCGGGTTCCGTCGACAGGAACATCGGCCACAGCCATCGGTCGGACGCGTGAGTATCTTCCCAGGTTTCTCCTCCCACTGACCGACTGTCGCCCTGAAACTGATAACCTTGCGCCCGCAGTGCCCTACGGAGACTACCCTTGGTGGGACTCCCCTTGTCCGCCATGCACCACGGGTCGGCCGACAGGGTCGACGGTGACCTGAACGGTTCGGTGCTTCCCCAGGATCTTGAGCTGGAAGCAGCGCTGCGAGGAAGAGACTCGGAGCTCGCCGTTAGACAGGTAGGCGTAGGGTACCGCCTCTTTTTACAGATGAGTTGAAGGGGCGGTTCTTCATGTTCACGCGGTTGTTGCAGCGCGAGGAGCGGGCCGAGCGGGGCGGCTGGGCGCGAGAGCTGCGGCGGCTGCAGCACGCCTCGGCGCGGCAGCACTCGCTGGGGCAGCACGCCCTGGCCCTGCAGCAGGCCGAGCGCCACGCCGAGCGGCAGCAGCAGCGCGAGCGGCACGCCGAGCGACACGCCGAGCGCCACGCTGAGAGACACGCCGAGCGACACGCGCGGGAGTTGGGCGGGGAGGTGCGGCTGCTGCGCTCTCGGCTGGAGGAGACGAGCTGGGCGCTCCACCAGCGCAACGGCGAGCTGTCCCTGCTCAAGGCGCAGCTCAAGGAGGCCCTGTCCCACCAGGAGCAGGCGTCCCGCCTGGCCGGCCGCGCGCAGGAGGCGGCCGCGCTGCGCGCCCAGCTGGACGGGGAGCGGGCTTCCCTGACGGGCATGCGGCGCACCCTGGCCGACCGCGACGCGGAGCTGCAGCGCGCCGCGGACGCGAGGGACGCGGCGCTGAGAGACGCGGCCGAGCTGCGCGCCGTGGCCAGGCACCTCGAGTCGGAGCTGGAGCTGGCTGTGGCCCAGGCCAAGGGCAACCAGGCCGTGCTCAAGCACCAGCACCAGGTACAGCACCAGGCCGGTGAGCAGCACGATGCGCAGCAGAGCCAGCAGCTGCGCGCCGAGGTGCGCCGCCTGCGCGAGGAGCTCGCCGCGGAGCGCGCTACCTGGGCCGAAGAAAAGGAGAAGGTGCTCCGGTACCAGCGCCAGCTACAACTCAACTACGTGCAAATGTTCAGGAGGACGAGGTCTCTAGAGGCGGAGGTAGAGTCCCTCACCATGGAGCTGGAGCTGGAGACCAAGGCCAACAAGCACAAGAAGGTGTACGCTAAGGGCAAGGGGCTTCCCCTCCCCGAGCTGCACGCCCAGGCTATTGAACTATGAGCTGCTTCGGCTTGTGTGGACTAAACGTGTTTGTGTGACAGAGTGAATCCTTGAACTAAGAGAGGTGTACGAATTCTGTCCAACTTCATGTGGACCTTTACACAGCTTTGAAATCCAAATTGCGGATCACCAACGTAGCAGGCGGCTGAGCAACGTCCGCAGCATTGTGACAGTCAGTCATAGGCTTTCATGGCTGTTATTTTGTACCTGAATTACCAGGCATTTACATGCCCCTGGCTTATGTGCCATTTTAGTGTAACTTTTAAGATAGTATGGTATTAGTGATGGTAATGTTTTGTTGTCCATAGATCTTTCGGTCTACTTTGTTGTCTTTATTACATGTATATTTTTGAAATATGTGGTTATGCATGGCTGTAATTGCAGTTATTAAAAAAAATCTTCAGAAATGAATGTGCAATTGTGCATCCTATTTTTCTTATTTCACCATTCATAAACAATGTTGTACAGATGTGAATGTACCTTTGTCTGTTCCCTGTCATTTAAAAAAATCAAGGACTATTGATGGTTTGTCCTGGATAGACATTATTTGATCATTTTGCACAAGTAAAT